CAGTCGAATGAAAGGACGGCCGTGAGTACTTACATCAGGCATGTCTAGGATCTGGGAGCATATACTTTGTATGGGATAAACGCCCATTGATAGGGCGCGTGGTCCAGGACTGTGTGCGCCCTACACACCCGGTACCATTTAATCCGTCATTCCAGTGAAGGCAGCACAACACAAGACAGCACAAACACGTCAGTTACATCGATGTACAGTGCTGGGCACTAATGGTACCAATGCGAACTTGGCATTTGCCCACTGCACAAACGTTCCAAGGAGATTGGATACTTTTTTTTTGTAACGTAAAGTTACACAAAAGAATATGGGATATAAATACTACTACGCGTTTATACTTGATACGGATAGCCGCACAGAATTTCATATTTACCATCTTGGGACGTTTTAGAATGGTGTAAGATCCCTATCTTTCACTAAAATCACATTATGACATCAGCATTACGACATCGGAAGAGAAAAATCACGTAAATGTTTTTCTTGCACTATACATCGAAATAAATCAGGTTTCTTTGCATGCTACAACTTGTATTCGATAGAATTTACATTTATGAAATGTGCCGAAGACTGTTCTTTCGACCCATGGATTAGTAAATAATTAATCAATAAACTTTGATCAATTGTTACAATGACCATTTTTGCGCGGTTGATACGAATTTTTAATGCATTAAATTTGAATGCAGGATCTTTTGACAATGCTAAGAAACTTGTGATTGTCTAACAGAGCAGAATATTATATCTCAAAGTCTGCAATGAAAGTTCCTACGTTCAAATACTTTTCCCTCTGTAACCTGCTCGTTTATATCTTCCTCTTCTAATCACTTTATTTCATTACCTGGTGACGATATTAGCGAATAACGAATACAGATTCCCAATATATATTCGTTATAATAAAAATTATTCGCGAATATGATATAAATATTAAATATATTATACATATATATATATAATTATATATAAAATAGTTGTAAAAGTTGTAATTTTTCATTATTCGATTTAACATTTGTAATAAGTTCGAATACTGAAATATTTATAAAAAATTGAAATCAAATTTGTATTTATAAAGATATTTAATGTAATAGATGTTCAATGTAAAGATATTCAGTGTATTATTTTAAATTTCTTACTTCATATAATTCAATATAAAGCCTACCTTATATTAAAATCTTATATTAAGGTTATTAAGTATCTGGTTACTATATTATGTACAACAATAAAAATAAACTGCAATATATTTCAAATGTTTAACCGTTTAATATCCGCACATTGTTATTACATCGTAACCATATTGCTTCAAATATTCCGAAATGTTACAGGCCTCTTTAAGATGTTAGCAGATAAAATAGACGGCAATATTGATTTCCAATGTGAAGAGATGCCCTCGATTATATTAGGACAAAGGCAGAATGACCGGATTATTTTTTTACCATGTAGTAAGTTTAAGACAATTTTCTAAAAATATAAAAAGATAAGATAGAGATATATAATTTGAAAAAAATTATAATTTGTTCCACAATTTTTTATATTATGTATCTTGAAAATTAAGCTTTATATTCTTAATAATGTCCTTAAGCTTTATGTTGAATCCTAATGAAAGTAAAAGCCTTTTAATAACTGAAAAATGTGATTTTGATATCTGTTTTTTGTTGTTGTGTACTGGTGGAATTACAAATTCTTGTAGCATACATTTGAAAATACAGAAAAACACATAGAACGCAACTTATTGTTAGATGTTTTCGAACAACAAATATGATGAATGTGAATAAAGTTATATCTAAGGAAAGCAACTTCTAAAAGTTTGTATACCTAAATCAATACCTACTATAGAGTCACATTCCAGAAAACGGGGTTACTTATGAGTTTATAACAGATAACACTGAAAAGAATGAGATTAATACTAAACGTTCGCCAAGCGAAGCTTGATGAAAATCATTTAATAGTTTGATAATTAAAGATTCCGTTTTTTTATATACTTGTAACTTGTATTATACTTTCATGTGTGTCTGTATTATACTTTCACTTAGTTTCCAATTTTCTCAATTATAATGTATTAAAAATACAATAAATCCGTAACTTTGTCAAGAGACTACCATATCTAAATTGCAAACTAAAGCTTCAAAGGAATTAATTCGTTTTCCTTTTTTAAGGTTTCTGATCCCGTACAGCCATATTGAATTATGTTAGAAATGAAAAAAATTTATAATTTTTTCTTGTATATCGAAACATATTAACCTTTTTCGCACACCTCTAGTCATGTTTGATAGAATAGATTTATAAAATGAGCTAAAGAGTAGACAAGTTTAAATCTATTATTATAAAATACATTCTCGCTGAAACTGTATGGACGCGTATAAATGTTTGACACTCTCTCTCATTTATTAATACAATTAAACATAGTTTCTCTGGTATATTTTAATAATTTATACTATCGGACACGGAATGGTGGCATGCGAAGAAATTGATTTATCTCGATGTATAGCACAAGAAAAATATTTATACGGTTTTTATTTCTGACTCATAATCTAACACGGCTGTAAAAAAAGACTACGAGAGTCTTAAAGTCCTGTTAAGAGAAGGAAGAAGAAAGAATAACACGACGGACAAATAAGACAGTTACGTCTAAAAAATTCTAATCAATTCATTCAATCTTTTGATTATAAAAGTTCCGGGATTACTTTTTTTTTTAACGCTGATCTTGTGAGCTGTTATAGATTATTCATGATTGCAACCCGCACTGATACACGCGGAGCCACACTGAAAAAGCCAGCGAGAATTTCACATTATGCGTTGCAGTAAACATTGCTGACAAGAGTATTGGTTACTGCCGCGTTGAATAGTGGAAGATGTATTAAAGGAGTCATTGCGGATGGATAAATAACAGCAACAAAGCTGGGCACGACAAATGTATGGCGATGAGTGAGTGCGTGTAGAGTATGAATGTAATATAAATGATATCTGAGTATAAAGGGGAGGAAGTAAAGGTGGGCAGAGCACATGAAACTGACAACACATTTCCCAAAAAGATAATTATACGATACCCTGTCTTTGTACGTGTCTTCACATTCTTTCTGAAAACAAATGGAATCATTGAGAGATTCAAAGGTTTACCGAACCCTATAACTACTTTAACACGCTGGGCTGTACAAAGCGGAGATTGAAACCAAGTATACAAGATATTCAGTAAATTGCAATATAACCAACTTGAGAGAGCAATTTCTCGTAAAAAAAAAAAAAAAGAAATGGTTAAAAGAACATGTAAATAAATCTTTCAGATTTATCAAGAGAGATCGCTTTGAATATAAAAATACATTTATTTGACTTTGCATACATTGATACTTATATACATGTCAAACATGGGAATCTTTTGTAACAATTAACAAATAAAATAACAATTAAAGAGAGCTATTGAATTTTCAATGCCAGAACCATATCATTATATTCGCGGTTGCTGATTTCATCATTTCGAGAAATCAGCATTATTAAATAGATATATCTTTCTCTCACATTCAACCTATTTCTTTTTTTTAACATGTAACTAAAATAAAAAATATAATGTAATTATCGAATATCGTAAAATCGGTTTTTTCCACGAAAAATTGTCTTCTTCCTGGTTGTATCACGATTTACTGAGCATTCTGAAATTTCATCGAGTTAAGATTTGGATATCGTAGGCATGCAATAATGATCCTTACGTTTATCCGTGAGTTAACGAAACGCGATAATCGGCATAAGGTCTTTTCTCGCATACCTGTAACATCGAAAATCGAACTCAACGAAATTATATCGGTTTCAATTCTCATTACAAACAGAAATCATACAAGAGATATCCCCCAGCATAAGCATCCTCTTTCATTCCATAAGTTACAGAAGTTAGGCATACAACAAGTAAATTATATTTAATTATTTAATAGTTTAAATTGTCTCCTTTGTTTTAGGAAATAAAAGGAGATAGTTACGTATGCTGAAACAACAAAATGTTGCATACCAGTAAAACTATAAATACTTCATATTTGTACCTGTAAAAATTTTGTCAATTAAGATTACGATTATGTATACAGATGTACTCATAAAAGAACTCTGTTTCTGACAGAATCAATATTTCTGCAGAAAACGATTTACGTTTAATACGTTTGATTTTTTATTATTTAATTTCAATATATGTTCCATTAAAAATTGTGAGATAATTATATTAATCACCCTGCCTATAATTCATCAAACTATAATTTTATTTTTTAATTTATAAATATTTGTCAAGTGTTGTAATCGTTAAACTATAAGATGTTCAAAATTTTTAAGTTTTATTGTGATCGATAGCTGCATTAATAATCAGCAAATTTTTATTGAAACATTCAAACAAATGCGGAATTAAGTTAAGAAAAAGGAAGAAATAGATGAACAACATACTTCTCGTATTGTGAGTGTGTGTGACATCATTTGAATGTTGACTTGGGACTGGCTGGTGGGTAGATTGTCAGTCGAACGTGACCTAGCCAAGGATCGGGACCCTGTTAGGACGCTCTTGCTTTTAAGAGACATTTCCGTACGCAGAAATACTCGTGATATGTATGCTGAGCTGAGTCCGCGTATCCCAAAAGCGGTGCGCAGAAATTTAGCGGGTGTCACCTGAAAATTGATGAATTATCATTTTTAGCAGCATTCCTTAGAATTAAAGCCTTGTAAGATTATAAAGTATTAAGCAAAACATATATAATAATTCAGCTTAAAATTTATTATAAGTGTACTTCTGAACAACATACTACATATATATTTAGAAATTTAGATATGTACATTTAAATGATTTTTATTACATATTTAAAATACTTTTTTATTCAAAATACAAACGTAATGTTTAATCTTTCTTTTGCTAATTAATATATATTAACTTTCTTGCGTCTCTCAAAATTTATTATTTGTCATATAATAGATTATATCGTTTAAGTCAAAATCCTTTTTATTTTTATAATAGCCTACAATTATTCCGCTACACACAATCTATTTTAGATTTTGTTACTCACTGGCATTTGTCTGCAGAACTTTGATAGAGCAGCATCTATTCCATTCTTTGAAATCTCATTCATCCATTCGGAATTCTGCGGCGAAGAGTGCTTATAAAATAATAAAACTATAGCCATAGCAACCCGATAAAAAACCTGAAAGCAAAAAAATTAATGATAATTCAATAAATCATTAAAGTAATACTCTATAACAAATCGTGCATATGTCCAAAAAGAACAATTTTATGCACGATATAGTTAATGCTTAAAAATGCTCGCAAAACAACTTCCCGCTGGCAATGAGTCAAACATCAAATTTAACATTTGTCCTATTCCTAGAATATAAGTGCATTGCACAGTACACATAACGTGCGGTTGATCTTTATCTGTTGGTTGGGTAAACGCCAATTTTTCTCACACTCTCATATGTACGGTAGATGGACGCTTTCACGTGCCGCCGACTGATTCCTTGAATGCATAGCAAGAACTAAAGTTCGAAATTTTCCGGTTGGCGGACGGTTTAAACCAGTTTGAACTCGGAATTTACAATAATCAGGTGATTTCACAGTTCAAATTTCATTTTCGGAATTGAAATTGTTTGGATCTTTATATAAGCATTTAGGGCACATAAATTAGGTATTTATATTCGAGCAGTTCGAACAATTGTCTATCGTAAAAAAAATACATTTCATAAATTCGTAATTTAATGTATACTGTAACGAAATATATGGCATACCGGTTCTATCTCTTTATATCTTTGATCGTTTTTGTTTGCAATAAATATTATTTTTATTTGACCTTTTGATATCAAAACTACTTAAAACTTTTAAATACTGTATATCGCTCAAACAATTTGAATCAATTATATTCAAACTATACGAGTCGCTTAATATGAGATTCGAATTTTTAATTATAAGTAGACATCGTACATCTCGCAAAGTTGAATACAACCTCTTATAAAAGCTACTATAAAATCAGCGATCATATTTAAAACATAAACTTACCTTAATGCCTTCATGAAGAAAACAGTCCATAACCCTGACTAGATGTTGAAATGGAAGAAGTTGAAGAATCCACCAGATCCAATCCATGTAGATTCTTTCTGCTCTTGAGCCGGAGCAATGCCTCGCTAAATGTACAGCAGCTGATTTCTTAAAATCGTGAAATTGGAAAAACATATATTACATATACATATGTCGCTAGTCTACTGCTTGTAAGTTTTTGCAAAATAATTTTATATCTTAAAGTTTAAATCTCTTTTATACCATTTCAGTGAATGTTTATCAATCTAGAATAATATCAATTGAACGAAAGATAGATACATAGATAAAGAAGTTTATTCTATCATGAGATAAGACATTGAGGAAGTGAAAAATATCTTGCGTAATATTATGAGCCGTTTTCTTCAAAAATATTAAAGATAGCAACAAGATTTTTAAGGTTTATTCTAGGATCATCATGATTATTTTTATATGACAGAGTACCATGTCCGAATAATAAACTTTTAAACAGATAATATTCACTTTTATCCTTTTATTTTACATTTAAAATTTAAATGAATTTAAAACAATTAAAAAAAAAAGGAAAAGTAAACTACTCAATTGGGAACAAATATAATTATCTAAGGGCTAAATTTTAGGAACTTGTTGCTACTTACGACGTGTTTCTTAGTTATTTGTTCTACCGTTTTCCACGTAACTTCATAAAGGAGTTTGGTTTGCGTGATGAACATTTTCTCTTTGGCAGCTACCAAAGTAGCCATACAGTGGTAACATTCCTCCTCTGAAAAATAACATTCCCAAAATAACATAAGTAGCGGTTCATTGGAAGTAAACAAGATCCTTACCATAAATTGGCTTATTTTAAGACTTTAACACAGTGAATTAAAAGATATACAAAACTGTAATTCGCAAATCTAATTGGCGAATCATTGTCAAGTAGAAATAGAAATATTATAAGTTATAAACACTATTCACAAACTGTTCATAATCAATATTAATAACTAATAATATTTCTACCCATTATTGGAATAAATAAAACATATAGGATAACATTTTTCCGTCCAAGATTTATTTTTCAAACAAATAAAAATTGAAAAATTAAATAGAATGTAAACCTTAGTAAATTTGTACTATTTTTGCAACCGTTAACTGTTAAAACGAATTGTGTAGATTTTACGTAAATTGTTTTATCAAGTACATTTTCTTTGAAGTGCGATCATGGCTAATTTGGAGTCGATACTTTGACCATAAAATCGAAATATTTTACTTAACCCAGGAACGGTCACCTTGGGTAATTTTTACACCTCAGTGTTGAAAAAATAAAGCTCATATCATAGTAATTTTAAACGTTTTTTAAACTTTTTTGGTTTCTCCTTACTTTTTTTAGAAAATATTGAATAAATCTATGTATATACTGTTCTCAAATACTAATAAATGATAGGACAATGACTTTTAACAGGGGTGTAAAACTCATCCTAGGTGATCGTTTACGCAAAAAAAAATGACGTGACCGTCTCCGGGTTAAGTAAAGCGAAAAATAATTCTTGTAATGTATCGAATTATTATCAAGTTATTATTGATTTAATTAATATTAATTAAATTAGTATTAATTTACCTGGCACAAAATGCAAGAGAAGTGCAGTTAACGGATAAAGGGATGGGCTGTATGTGATGTCAGGACAGGCATATCCCAGTACAGATACAATTCTGTCCGCCACGTTTCTGCCTTTTCTCGTCAAATTGTAAGACAAGCAATGCGTACTATCGACGAATGGCGGAAGCATGATTGATTTTTCAGGTAATTCTGTAAACAAAATAATTCAAACCTTACATGGATGTAATGAAGATAACTTTCTTATTGGATTGTACCGAGAGAAACAAAGTTATCACTTGGGTCTTTATCTTTCTTCGATCGCGTCTTCAATGATTACAAATTCGAATTCAGGGCTGTTTTTATAGTTGAGAGCGTTATAAATGTGCAATGAAATAAGCTTACAATTAGTCTCACAATTGCGCCGCTCTCAGATTCCGTTCTATGATCCTTTTGTGTTCGGTATAAATGCGCTGACAAAAGTCCAGCGAAAATATAGAGGTTAAAGATTCGTGGGGCGTTAAAATGTATTTACTAACCAGTTGTTCCAAAGACCTGGTTCACCATGTCCCAGTAGAATCCGTCGAGCATGTTCTTGCCGTGCGCGTGCTGATCGCAGAGCGCCGGCCAGAGCTGCGCCCTGATGCCGTTGTTAAGTGGCCAGGCGTTCTCCCGTATGATCAGCTTCGCCTCCCGCTTTCTGCCGGCCTGCAGCAACGTGTTCACCTCAGCGAAAGTCTTTAGCGCCTGCTTCTTGCTGGTGGGCGACTCCGGCTGGATGACAATGTTGCTGGTGTCGACATGCGGCGGGAACGCGTCGTCGATGTCGGTGACGTTCGTCGCCTCCTCCTCGACCACCGACAGCGTGTTCGGCGAATTGTCCATCGGGGAGGCAGTCACTAACATCGCTTAACAACTACGGCACGAGATTCTTCATGGCGGCCGCCCCGGCGATTTTTCACGCACCTGCCGCTGTCTACGTCATGTCTTGGGACGTTTCAATTTTCATCTGAAAGAACGAAGAGGATTGTACCGTATAAGTGGACGAGTTCGAAGACTTTTGGAGTACATAGATAAACAGATATAGAATTTTAGAGTATTATTAGCCAATTTACCTTACAATTAGCGAGATAAGATAAAGGCAATTTGATAATATCTCATTATAGAGAGACAAAAATACTTTTTCTTATTTACTTGCATATGGCAATATGCAATATTCTTCATTATATGCTTTTTTATTTATTATTTCTACTTTTGCTGTTTTTCCACTACTCCAAATTTGTCATTCAAATTTTATATTCATGTAGATAATACGTGCGTAGGATAAAAATGTCATTATTTTCGTATAATCAATTTAAACCAAGCCTGACTGAAGAAAAAAAAAATTAAATTATCAGAGACAAAAAACATCCCATTTCTTTGCATTTATATGCAGGAGTAAAATTATACTTTAAACATTATCAAATTATTTTATTTTAGCCTATATTGCAAGCAGTAATAAACAATTAAATTTTCTCATGTTCCCTTCTCATAATAAACTGCCCTTAATTATTATCCCAACTTTGCTTTGATTTCATCTAAAATTCATGTTTGCAGACTGCGGTATAGATACGTCCCTCGGGGCAACTTTGATTATCTTAATTAGCGACTAACTTGTCGAATAATGCCCGTGTCATTTGGTTCACGCGGGCAGAATTATTAATTTTTTTGTTATTTAGCACACGAAGAGAAATATTAGATTAGGAGCGGCGAATTATACAGTTGAAAATTTTATTGTGAGCAATTGATTCTGCTCACCGATTGATTTAATCGCTGCGGATTTAAATTAACCGGAACATAATCGAAGTCATTCTCAGGTATCAAAAAGATACCGGACACAATTTTATTTCAGAATAGATTCAACTGGCAAATGTTTACGGTTCAACTCTTTCCTCCCTAGACTCCGCGACACGATTAAACACAGCCGAGTAACGCACGTGATTGCGCCGTCGCGGTTGCTCGAATCTCGTAAACTCGCGCGAGCTCCAAGATAATGTTTTAGCGCTTACTGTGCACATCTGTCTCGCTATCGCGTTGCAATAACACCCTTCCCTCTTGAAGCGTCATCATCGCTCGTTCGTTCGGGTAACCCGTCGCGCGACCGAAATCAATTGTGAGGTAAACAAGCGCGAACGTGCATATACGGCACAACCACGTGCTCCCTCTTTTTTTTCTCTTTACCGCACGAGTGATTCGGACCCTCGCATGCCACAAGTGGCATACACGGGGTCATGAGTACCTTGACACACGAATCTGCACGTATATCGAGACATGTTTGGGGACATATGCTTCGCGTTGATTTCATATAACGTAATAAAATATAATATAATAATATCAATCGTACGTAATATTACATTTTATGAAATTAATTATTAAATTTGTGCGAGAATTGAATAATGTTGATGTTGTAACGTTAAACAGGATCAATTTACGTTTATTTCGATAGCGATCTAAGTTACTTGCTCTCTGGTAAACTTGTATAAATTCAATTATTTCTATTATTTGCGAGGATCAGACCAAGAAAATATATAAAGATGTGATGAATTTGTTACCGTATATCCCGCAAATTTTTTATGAGTATTTTAAAGTTCTCAAAATACTAGAGATTAAAAATCCTATTATCGAAGAAGAAAAGATTAGAATGTTGACGAAAATCAAGTACACATATTGTAATCATAAAATGCAAATGGATGTTGATTTTACACTATTCTTTAAATAAAATTCAATATTTTTTGGATCACAAGTCATTTTTAAGATTTATCGTTAATCTTGAAAATGTTTATTTTCAAGCTCAGAAACTATATTTATTTCTTTACAAACTTACTCGTAAAATTTTACAATCACAGAAATATTTACACTGTCAAGAGTGTTTTTTTTTATGTAATGACACAATCTTTTTTTTTAATACACACAAACGTAAAAGTTGAGATATCTGAAAACGAAAAGTATATGATTTAAGCTACTTTCATAATCATCGGCCTTGACGTAACTGTTCGTTGAAAAAATTGACAACATTTATATTTTTGATCAATTAATTTAATGTGCAGGCGTACGGTATGTGTGAGACTCAATTTGTAGATCTTCTATTTAACTCCGTACATGTCAAACACGTACATACAGCTGTCGAACCGTCGGAGAGTAATTCTGAGTCACGATGCAGGAATATTTATAGCGATTTTGGTGCTACCTGCACTACTCCGCATTACACGCTAAATGTAGAGTTGTGTAGAAGTAGAACATAAACATCCTAACCGACGAAAATTCACAAAGGACGTCTTTGACCAAACTCGATCGGCGATTAATTCAACCGGCAGAATTGATCAAAGCTAAATTTTTAACTATACACCTCGCTGTCTCTCTATAATCTTTTTCCCCATATATTGTACAACATAAAATAATAATTTAAAAAAAGTTATTTAAAAAATAATTCTATTAACGTTTACTGAAATAATACATAAGGCCTGTTCTTTTTAACTGAACTTCTTGCACGGTCCATCTTTCCTCTTTTCTTTTTACGTTGGAGAGAAAAAAAGAAAAGATGAACCGTGCATGAAGTTCAGCTAAAAAGAACAGGCCTACTGTATTAATTATATAATCACCGATTATATCAAGTAATATTTGTACTGTTTTGTTAACATAAATGGAATTACTAGCTGAACTAGCTTCCT